AAAAAAAAGGTTGAGAATTTAGAGGGTTAATATGTTGTGGGGTTGTTAACCAATGTCATAAAACAACATGTGTACTACTGTTTCATGAGAAACTTTGTTCTGTAAGCCTTCACCTGAAGTACAGTAAAATATTAAAAAAAAAAAGACCGTTTACATTTTGAATGTTTGCAAATATATATGTTGTCATACTTAAAATAAGCTGGAATTCTGTATAGATTTTCAGTAGATTTTATGTGTATATGTAAATGTGTAAATTAAAATTTGTATGTGACTATAACAAGGTAATGCTAGAGAAAGAGTAAGGGTAAAGAGGAAGCCCAGTTTAACTCTTTGTTGAGGATCCACATCAGTCAGCTCCAGAGAACTAACTTGAGAGTTAAGCAGTAGAAATTCCATACATGTAAAGAGCTTGAGTGATACAAGTCTTTAATTATGATTTCCATTATTTTATTATTAACAGTGTCGTACGAATATGGACTGAGGAGAATTTATACAAGCAGATTGTCCAAAACACTTTTAAGTTAAGAAAAATGAATTAGAGACTATCATAGCAGTACCACAAAACACGAATTCCTTTCAACACTCTTTTTAGGCCCTTGGTACATGGTTGAAACTCAAATAATTCAACAGTTATCTAGATGTCAGTGATTTTCAGACTGTGTATCATGGATCCCCAGAAATTTAGTGGTGGTGTTTTGTGTGTGTGTGTCAAGAGGGGATTGCACTGGGCTGGCAGGCCCTTTTTCTCTTACGTATATTAGGGTTCCAATCAAGGTTTTTGTTTTGTTTTTCTTTTTCCAGAAAACAATGCAATAAATACGTAGAATGGTTTAAAGAGCATTCATACAGACAGGTCCGTATAAGCATAAATGCCTAACTGGAAAAGTTGTGAATTGTTGAATACTATAGTCATAAAAACACATTCAGAAATATCTGCTCTGCAGACTCCCTGGCCCCCCGACTGAAGCATGCTGACATTGCCAGATGATGTCCTTTGAGCTTTCCTGTCAGAATAGAAAGCGCTTAGATACAGCCTGCACAGGGACATTGATGCTGGCTGTGTGCAGTAACAGTGCAAGTGACTACGAGGAAATGGTAATAAAATCAATTAAGCAAACTGAGAAAATGGTTTTCTTCGTTAAAATTTTTAGTCCATTAGTCAGAATCCATAATCAATATGTTACCAGAATCGATGAGCTTTAAAATCTTAACCGTAGTCATTGTCAGAAATGGTTTAATAACATGGCAAAGAATATCCTTTAAAGGCAAAAAAAATGCCTCCCATTATTTGATTAGTCTCTGGTATGTTTCAGGAGCCCTGGTGGCGCAGTGCTTGAAGTGCTGGCTGCTAACCAAAAAGGCAGGAGATTTGAGCCCACCAGTCGCTCCACAGGAAAAAGATGTGGGCAATCCGCTTCCATAAAGATCACAGCCTTATCCCCATAGGGATGCTGTAAGTCGGAATCAACTTGACAGCAATGAGTTTGGTTTGGGTCTTTGGTTGCAAAACAAACTGAGTATAGAAGTAATTCTGTGTTCTCATTTTAAAATTTCAGACAGCTAACTGATACGGTCAAGATCCTGCTAAATTTGTCAGATTATTTTATTATGTTTTTATTTGCTTTGGTAAGGCTTGTAATTGGATGCCAAAAAAATTCCAAGTGACACAATACCTGACCTTAATAAGAATTTCTTTAACTAAACAAAATAATTTCTAAAACAACACCTTTAAGGTGAAGAAAAAGAAAACTCTTAAGAAAGCTGAGTACACAAACTCACACCCTGTGAAAAATGAAAAATTATGCTGAATACATTCTTATTTTCTGTTATTATCTATGAAGTGTAAAATGTCTGTAACTAGTACATATTGTTATGTATGAAATGTCGTAACTAGTTTTCAGAGGTCATGTAATTTGTATGAGCTGGGAAAGTCCTGAAATTATGAGCAATTAGAATGAAGCCCTCAGAATCTCCCAAACTGAAGGTTGAGGTGTAAAAACTAAGGCATTTTTCATACGCAAACAGTGGTAACTGTATGTAATATAAAGATAATAAATTGTATTTACCTCTCTGTGTATTTATAATAACTTTTCTGGAACAGAATACATTGTATTCAGACCAAGAAAAATTAAAAGTTTTTATTCGCATGTATTTTTACTGTTTCCTTGACAACATCTGTAGATGCTGCTATCACCATGGGGATGGTTCTTCTCAATGAAGCTGCAACTTCCAAAGGAGATGTTGGAAAAAGACGGAGTAAGTCACTCTGTTGCTGTTTTTTGCAGTATAATTTTAGTTTCCAAACAGGAAGTACATGAAAGCTCTTTGTAAACATAAACTTCAACAGATGTATTCTAGGTTTTGAAGGTGAAGGTGTTTTTGGTTTCTTTTTTCTACTTCCTGAATGTGTGTATACATATACTTGAAAAATATTTTTTCTTTCAAAATGGGATTGGGTGATTTTCCCTGGAATGGCTTGCAAAGGGAGGCTGCAGTTGACTCTTGTCGGGGGTGTTCTGACCCTTCCCCACTGAAGCTTCAGCCTCTGTAGAGAGATCCTTGGGACCAGAAGAAAAAGGCTTGTGGGCAGAGTCTTCGGAGGTTTTATTGGCACGTAATATGCTCCCGGGCCGTGAGAATCGGTATAGGTCACAACCTAACTCACACAGGTTGTGCATGCTGGAATATTAGAATGCCTTGCCCTTTTCTCCAAACTAGCCTTTACTAACACTAAAAGGGGGGTGTTGTTAACATTATCTTTTCCATGGATAGTCCAGGTTTTACAGCTCCGTGAAGGGGCCCAGCATTATGCCTTTAAACAAGTTAACTATATTTTATCCTTTGATGGGACTGTTTCCTCTCAGGAGTTGTTGAAAAAACAAATGTTTCTAAAGTAACAAATTTTGGCAGCAAAAAAGGGAAAAATATTCTGCCTTAAGGAGCCTAGGTGAGGAGTGGGTAGAGAGCCTTAGATTTAATGTTTCCTGCTAAAGACCTTTTTATAATTAATATCAAGCCCCTGTATGTTTTTATGATTGTACTTCCACAGGCTTATAATTAAAACTTTTTCTCAATATTTTGTTATTTCTGAAATCTTTTTAAAAACCCAAGACTTGTATGTAAGGAGCGTAGGTGTATTTGAAAAAGACAAATAATTTATTAAGATATTAAAAGTAAAAACCCAGAGTTACTTAAGTGGTTTTTAGCCAGCGTGAGATGTGTTTTAATAGTGATTTCTGAATGTCTAAGTGTCTGAGTGTTAAAATGCTTTGGATATGACAGGTAATTTAGTCTGCCGTCTTCCCATGATGGTATCAGTACATCGTTGTAAAGCAACTACAGAAGAAATGAAGGTGTTATTTTGTTTAGTTCAGCATTTTTGAATATAATTTTATGATACATCTTTTGAGTAAACAATGTGATGTTTTGGGGACTGACAAATCATGTTTATGAGGACAAACTCCTGTGATTATATATTAATGATATATCATGTCATGTTAAGGTAAATAATAATGAATATGTAGTAAATTTCTTAATTTCACATCCGCGGTACTGAATTTATAAAATCACTACTTCCAACTTCTCTTTTTTTAGATATTTTTATATATAATATATTCTGTATATGACTCTGATCCCCACTTACCCCCTTCCGCAAATAAACACACACACACACATAGGAAATATGTTTAAAACTTACTCCTTTTTTATTCTGGTGTGATTTTTATTTTTGATATTGTACAACTGCTGTGATATTATGGCTCGGTCAGAACGCTTCTGTGCAGTCATGACATTTTCTTCTTACGGGTACGTCATCCCACATGGGCTGCCCGGGTTCAGTCAGTGACCGTAAGCCTTCACTGCCCGTCCCGTCCATCTCCCTTCGCATAAACAAGTATGTGTGTTGCATTATTTTGCTCCACTGCACAGAATTGTTTCACATGATCACATAGTTTAAATCTCATTTCCTGAGCATCTGGGAAGGCCACTGGAGTGGCAGAGATTGTGCAGGGAGTGTTTTAGTCCTCTGAAAAATTTTTTAAAAGGAAGAAGTGTTTGCTAAAGTACCAAATTTGGGAATGTATAAGTAATTGTTTAGTTAATTACCAGTTTAGTAAGATTGTTAATGAATTGGTTCTACGCTTAGTCAGACGGCTGTAAGCAAAGATGTTAATATGCTACATCCAGTGGATGGTGACTATCATACTTGGATATTAAAAGCATTTTTCACTTTGTGGTATTCAGAAACCTGGTTTTTGCTTTACTTTCTGCCAATGTTTGAACTCCAACTGCATGAGTATTGTCTGAAGTGAAGTGTCACAGAAGCTGCAACTGGATGCTATTAAAGGCTTATGATTTTTACAATTTGTACTCAAAACTGAGAGAAGGATATTCCAACAGAATTGAAATGAAAACTGACAGATTTCTAGACCTTATTTTGGCAGTACCATACCTTATCCACCTTCTCATTCCCTTATCCAGGAATGTAGTTGAAACTGGTTTTATTTATATGCTAGAAGAATTTTTAAAAATCATATTTCATCGTTATAGAGACATATAGGAGAGTTTATTTTCCTTGTTTTCTTCTCCCTTAGTGTTTTAAATCTCTTTTCTCTTGTCTTCCTCTCTTAACGATCTTTTAGTTCAGATATCTTTCAAAATATTTAGAATTCCTTAAAACTAATGCCATGATAAAAGTATTGTGTAAATGTTTTATTCTTAAAAAATGTCTGTATATTTCTTCTTAAGAGATAATGCTAATTTCTAGTTACTTATAGAACAGATTTAACTAGAAGTCAATTTCTTCAATATGGTTGTCTTTTCACTTATTCTGAATATACCTGCGTTTAGTTGGCTAAGATTTCTAAGCATTTAAATTTTGTAAGCATGTTTAGATTTAGTTTACTAATAATAGCAATGAATCTTGTTTAAATATATATCCAAAATATATATGCAGAGGAAACCTAATATATTTTGCTACTTGTCTAGAATAGAATCTTCCTAACCATTTAAAAAAAAGAAAAGAAAAATAATAATTTTTATATTGTCAACTTGCCTGGGACAAAGTAATATTGAAACCTGGACCACAGCAAACTCTACTGTAACATATATCTTGTGTTCCTTTGTAAAGCAAGTAAACATTAATTACAGCAACAACAGTACCTTTCCACCATTATCTGCTGCTGAGAGGGATTTTCTCCCCTTTGGCTTATGAGGCAGTATTTTCTTACTCTCCAAGGCATTGTTCAAAGCCTTCTGTACTCTAGGATGAACTATTCTGAAATAACATGCTTCTACTGAGACAATGTAATTAGTCTAGTAATCTAAAATTATATTTGTAAATTTTGCATGGCCATCTGAAGAAAATAAAATTATACTTGGCATTCTAATAACGCAAACGTCTCTGCTGATACGGCCAGTGCTTCATAATGCAGATGCTAATAATCTTGTTTGTGGTTTATCATATATTTTGTTTGTTTTGGGGGGACATTTTAGTACATGTAGGAATTTTGTAAGAGAAGAAACCACCAGAAGAGTAGATCAGTCAATTTTGTTGTTTTCATACTCCACATAGTACGTTTTCCTTGAGAAGAGTATGGAAAATAACGAATACATTGTATTTTGGATTATCTGGTTTGTTGTACCTGTCTGTGCCATGAACTATTAAATGTAAGTGTACTGTAATAAATTGAATGCATTTAAAAAATATAAACATTTCTTTTGTCACTTGAATGTTTCCAGACAGTCATGGTATTTTCTGCCTTTTTCTAGTCATTTGCCTGGTGGGATTAGGCCTGGTGGTCTTCTTCTTCAGTTTTCTGCTTTCAATATTTCGTTCCAAGTACCACGGCTATCCTTACAGGTAGGTAATATCTTTATACTTGTGTAAATGTATTCATTGTTAACTAATGGAGTAAACATAATATTAATGGTTGATAAACATTTAAGGATTAATTTAAATTAGATAACTCATTTGTCAAGTGACTTTTAATTCAGTTAAGCAAGTTCGTGATCAGCATAGTGGAGCATACGAAAGAGATATGAAGCATGATCCTTGTTCCAAAACAGAGTATACTTTATGTTTGGAGATACATGTACATAGCTGTTACTATGTAGTATGTGCTATATATTATATATTATGTATTATATTACTTTATAGTGTTTGTCATATATATTAAATAAACATAAAACAGAATGAGTTTTAAATTTTTTAGGAATAAAAATTTCTTCTTCTCTTGATTTGTCTATCCATCATGGTTTTAATTTCATTTGCAAGATTTTTTTCTCATGTTGTCTACTGTTGAATGTCTGACAAACTTTGCATCATCTTTTGAATTCTACAAATTTTAGCTTTTTGAAATAAATAAGAAAAGTCCACTTGAGAGGTAAAAATTAGATGATAAAATAATCTCTCATCACTAGAAATAATCATAATGCATATTTGGTAAGATTTTCACCAACACGTTGTCATAATTGGAGGAGTGGAGATGTTGAAAATTCATTCTGGGACCCCATTATTATTCCCTAACCAGTCTTTGACTGAAGTACACTACAGTGGATGTACTCATGTTATGTTTGTTCAGTTTGAGAATTAACCATTCCTTCACTTCTTGAGCTTATTCCTTCCTCTGCCTTGCTTTAAGGAATACATACTGAACTTTCTCTAGGGAGTCCCTCCTTTAGCTTAACCTATGCTTCTTTCTAATGAAGAAGTTGAACCAAAAAAAAAACCCAAACCCATTGCTGTCGGGTTGATCCCAACTCACAGCAACCCCACAGGACAGAGTAGACCTGCCCCAGAAGGTTTCGAGGGCTGTCATCTTTACGGAAGCAGACTGCCACATCTTTCTCCTGCAGAACGGCTGGTGGGTTCCAACTGCCGACCTTTTAGTCAGCAGCCGAGTGCTTAACCACTGCACCGCCAGGGCTCCTTCATGAAGAAGTAAAGGCTCTGTATTTCCTTTCTCAGAGATTTCGAAGACTCTTCTGATGCAATAAGAACTAGTAACATATAATAGAAATAGAAAATGAAAGCTCATCGTATTTTACATCTCTTCCACATGTGAACTATGCACTATTTTAACAGAATGTTTTTATGCAGATGATGGCAGAAAATAAAGAGCTTTGTCTGGAGGACAAAACTAATCACAGGGAGGTCTGAATATGGGGTTGTGTGGAAGAGTAAGACTTGTCAACCCCACCTTTGTATTTTCTCCTGTGAGGCAGAGGCACATTTCCCAATTCTCTTTTTCTCACATCCATTAAAAATAAATACTGTGTACAAGGGAATGAAGAAATGTATGTATCCTATCTGAGCTGTGGGATCATCTGCGTTAAATCCTGCCTGCAGCTTTAGTGAATTTCTAAAAACATCAATCTTAAGGGCGACGAGAGTAATCAAGGCAAGTAAAGTCTCCGTTTATTCATGCCATTATTCTTGAAGTTAGATAGCCAGCCAGTTTTGGTTTTGAAAATGTGAAATGATCAGAATAAACTGATCCAGGATTAATACCCAAGAAAGAGGGAGTTATTTGCTTCTCTCTCCCCCTACTCTAGGGTTGAGAATCGTGCTTATGTGTGATTTATAGGGCTTGGTTTACATGCTTGTGTTCTGTAATGGAATCTGTATATTAAGAGAAGTATAAGTAGTTTGAAAGTCTTTTATCCAAGATGCCAAAAACACTTAAATGAACTGATTTCATTCTTCGCGTTTATAATATGTCAAAGGAGAGGTTGTATCTCTGTTTTTATAACAAGGTAAACTATAGTAAGGGATGTTGTGAGAATCTCAGACCCTGTTTAGTTGACATTGAGGAGATGGGAAAGGTAAAGGGGAATTTTGAATTTCCCTTGTTCAGTGGAGCACTTAATCATACGAGGTGGAGTCCTTTGGTGGTACAAACGGTTAAACGCTCGACTACTAGCAGAAAGGTTGGTGGTTCGAACCCATCCAGAGGCCCCTGGGCAGACAGGCCTGGTGATCTGCTTCTGAAAGGTCACAGCTGGTTCTTTCGTGTGCCATGGCCCACCCTCCAGACTCCCTGCAGGTGCCTCTGTCACCACACCTGCTTTTCCTCATCATCAGCACAGTCATACAGGTCAAGTGTGTAATGTTGTTGGTATGATTCCAAGAGCCTCCTGAGTGTAAATGAGGCATCTATCGCATCAGCACTTTCAAGGGAAGAAAAATACAGAGACAGAGACCTCTAAAAGGTAAAGACAAAGTCAGAGCACTAAGTAAGTGTAAACAATAGTCTTTAATTCAGTTCAGTTGCTGGAGGAAGACGTGTGCAAGGTAGATCTTCGACATTCCTAAAAGATGGTTTTCAGAACTCGGTACCTTTCCAAGTGTATGTAGTAGCTCCCATAAAGTGTTGTCAGGAATTTGCTGATGTTGTAAAATAAGCCTTTCAGATTTTAATGAGTTATGGCCTATATGAAGACATGGCCGAGGACAATTATTAAACTGATTTGCACAGTATACCCCACCACCCATCTGTCAGTCTGTCATACTGTGATATTTCCAGTTTGGGTGACTCAGCTAAATAACTTACTTTGGAATCAGGTGTACTATTCAAAACAACATCAACAAAAGCCATAGTGAGGAGAATTTGAAATACTCAGACGGATTAGTGAGTAAGTACTTGGAATTTAGTAAAGGCTTTTTATAAACAACCAGCTTAGGTTTCTTACGCCTCTCATTTAACTCCCTTCATACCTGATCGAGCAGTCGAAAAGAGACAAATGAAGGTTGACTTGCACACTCCTGGCTCCAAACCCTCTAAACTGTGCAGTGTTCTCTGAGTAATCCAGACATTGGCAAACCTTCATGTCTTCGCATGTACTGTCCTAAATGTCTGGAATGTCCTTTCCCTCAGAGCGGGCACCTTTGAGAACCAGCTTCAGTTGCCTTCTCTGGAAAGCCTCCCCCAGCTCCACTAGGGAGTAGCCAGCCCACCCGCCCACCACAGTGCCCAAAGCCGCTTTGTTGTTGTAGATCCTGTCGTATGTACTTGTTAGTACCAGGATTTATCCATTTATGTACTGCCTATACCAGATGGAGTTCCTTTGGCTCTTACCATCTTTTGACCCTTTAGAAGCTTAGCAATTTACCTAGAACAGAGTAATTATAATAAAATCTGGAGTAACTTCTAGCTCCAATTCTAGCTCTCATAAACAGGTACATTTACTGGCCAAGGGTATTTTATACTTTGCCTTAAACGCATTAAACGTGGATACTAGGTAACTCCAATACTGCAGTCGGTTCTTCAAAGAAAATTCAGAAGTTTGTTTTTTTCTTTAATTAATACTCAGTGAGTTTACTAATTCGACAGATTAAATTTCTCATAAACGCTGTTTATAAAGGTAATCAAGTGTTCTTCAGCACTGCATATTTTAATGTTCCATGACCCTGAACTAGGCCATTTAAGAAGTTTTCCAGCCTTACGCCAAAGCAACTGTGAAAAAATACGTGTATCTGGATATATGTTATCCAAATGTGCAGGTCGTTACCTGTCTGTTTTATGATAAACTAGTAATGTTGTCAGTATTCTGGATTTACCGACCCCAAAATGGTATACAAACAGCATCAGCAGCCACAGTTAAATGGAGTGAGAGACTTCAAAGTTGCTTAGTAATTATTGGAATGACGTTTTGATACCTGCATTCTCATCCCATCCCTCTCTGACTTAACTAGCTGCATACTCTGGAAGCCACTTACCTTCTCTGGGGCTCAGTCTCCATATGTCATGAGGTAATTTTGTTGTTGTCAGCTGCTATTGAGTCAGCTCTGACTCATGGTGACCTTCTGTATAACAGAATGAAACAGGTTTCAGTGAAGCTTCCAGACTAAGATAGACTAGGAAGAAAGGCCTGGCAATCTACTTCTGAAAATTAGTCAATGAAAACCTTATCAATCACAGCAGAATACCGCCTGATACAGTACTGGAAGATGAGCCCCAGGTTGTAAGGCACTCAAAATACAACCGGGGAAGGGCTGTATTCTCAAAGTAGATCAATTTCGATGAGGTAATAAACCAAAAAACCCAACCAGATGCTGTCAGGTCAAATCCGGCTCAGTGGTGACTCAGATCTCTTACTTAGTTTTCCGTCTGAATATCCCCATTTAAAATACAGAATTTCTTAGGCCACATCCAGCTGAATCAGAATCTCCAAGTCTGGGTCTTGAGATATTTTGAAAATCATTCTGAAACAACCATTTTCTGACAGGTCTTAGGGAACAATGTGCTGAATGACTTTGCAGTTGTCTTCGAGCTTCAAAATGTTTATTTCTTTGGGTTACTAAACAAATGCTTTATAGGCATGTCGTGAATGCTCGCCATGAGGTACTTTTAATCTGGCTGAAGAAGAAACGTGTCTGTGAAGTAGCAAATAAGTACATATAAAATATCAAAAGCTAAATGGCAAATCTGTGGTATGGAAATACTTCGTGGGTGGGAGACATCACTGTGGGTTTGAGTGAGAAAGGAAGACTCCAAAAGAAGGCTTGAATCAGGCCTCAATTCAAGGTAGCGTTTAGGTAAAAGAGAGGCGTTAAGGATCTTTCATGGACAGAAAATCGTAAGATGTGTGCAGACACGGGGAATGAGAAATCTGCCTGCGGGTTACGCGCGGACTGCTATGGCTTAATCATCCTAAAATTTACTGCTTAATAATGAACATGTTTCTAACTTAAAATGCACTAATCATACAAAAGGAAATACACAAAAAGAAGAAAAAAGTATAAGAGGAAATAGCCTTCCCACTTTCAATGCATTTTAAGGATAATTCTTCAATTGAAATTCTAGATATACCCAAAACTAGTCACTGTTTTCCCAGAAGAGTTGTTTTTTGGGTTTTTCT